GCTCGACTAACGCTCTACAGAACGCTCAAAAATATAAATCCCATTGTATTGAATGGTCTCGTTCCCACCTTGGCGTATTTCCGCCCGTCCCTAACGCGCTACAAAACGGCCCACGCCTGAAAAGGTACAGGTACTACTTTGGGCCGTTTTGTTGCGCGTTTCCATTGGGATACAGCCAAGTAGCCTTCGGAAACGCGTGACGGTCGCGTGACTTTTTTACCGCGAATATGCAATACGCCTAGGTGTGAACGAGACCTTAGGGTAGAGGCTGGGTCAAAAGGAATTGAGAGATGGTCATACTGTGCAAGCACGTCTAATGGCTTACTAATGCATGTCTAGGTCAGCTTTGTTTTGTCACCATAATGGGAAAAAGAAATATGCCATGTCTGTATTATCTTTGTTTTTTTTTATATATATATATATATTTTACTCACACTTTCTGTATAGAGCTGGTGGGAAAGATGATCACTGTATGGTAGCAGAACAAAATGTCAAGCTCCATTACATTGGCTAAATATCAAAAGAAATTCACAACTTCTGTGGTCATGAAACGGAAGGGGAAGCTTGCTGCTAATGAAGTTAGATATTAATTACAACAACATATTTTTTTTTTCCATGGCTGGACGTAGGTTTAGAATTACCAGCTAGTCATTCAGTTCTATAGTCTTTGTTTTCATAAGCAATCATAAGGAATGTAAAAAGCACAAGCAAGCACTAATTACACATACAATTCTGTCAGTATTTGTGTTGTGCGAATGTTTAATTCTGGATGCCATCGTTGCCTGAAATTATGCCCTAAAGAAGCTACGACACTTTCTTCGTATGATCTTATCTAGAAATGGCTTCAGAAAAATCTATATAATTATAGTCTCTCACGTCTGTCATAAATGATAGTGGATTGGAAACTCCGACAATCCAGAAATAGCCGCAATTAGCATGCATAATTATCTGTTTCAGAGTAATCAGAATCTTTGGCTGTCCATTGTTTGTGGTACCCTAGAGCCTTTATACTATATCTGGGTGTTTAACATCTAGAAGTCAATCGAAAAGCAGAAGTTTGCAATAATGTAAAGAACTGTTGAGCTAAATATAACAAGCACATTTATATTCTTTGTTGCAATCGGACTCTAGTTAATATGCAGTCTAGTACCCAATACATTGGAAATGTTGTGCCGGTGCTTACATCATACAACCTGACTCGCAAAGCAAAATAAGAGAAACTCTTGGTGCATAATGGGAAGCTCAGCACTTTAACCCCTGTTGTTGCTGGGACCATTTTTTTTCCCCCCATACATGTTAAAATACACATTTTAAGCCTAAAGATTAGTTAAAACACCAACACATTATGAAAGCAGAGACCCTGTAGAATAAAACGGTTACAGTTGCAACTTTTTATATCGCATAAGTAACATTTTCAATAAAACAAAGTCCTCTATAGTCGGTGCCATTCTGCATTCATTGCTGTATAATTTTACACTTTCCATTTCACTATATTGCACGCCACACTATTTGTTTTCTTTTTTACTTCCACCGCTCCAAGCGTGCTCCTGTGAGGGAGTGCAATCTCAATACAAACTAGTAGTCCCATCACTGGAGCCATTTAAATACTTTTTTGCCCCACTGTATATCACGTCTGCACTAATTCCACTTTTAAAGCTAACACATTGAGGCTCTTCAATTTGGCCCATTTCACTTTAGACATCTGCAGTGCAATATTCTGCCATCATGGGACAGGTCCAGTGGTGTAACAACCGGTGGGGTAGCCGGTGCGACTGCCCCGGTAGTAGAGTTGGGTGGGGGCGCCGGGGCCGGGCAGTGACGAGCAAGACACGGCGAATGAAAGGCTGCAGAGGTGTGGAATCCCGGGCGGTAAGTTGATTTCTACATTTAGGCCTGCTTTGCACAAGTAGGACTAAATGTAGTGTGGGGGAAGCCGATTGTTTACTACCTCTCTCCATGCTGGTTCCGTCCTCCCCCTTGCCGCTGAGTCTTTCCTCACTGGCGGCTGATGCAGGGAGCAGAGCGGCAAGGTTGGAAGTAACCCTGCCGCTACGTGTAAACCGTGAGAGGGGAGAGCAGTCTTTCCCTCTCACCTGTCGCAGGAGTTCCAGCACAGCGCTTTGCTAGGACTCCTGTATTGCAGGTGACAGGGTCAATAAAGAGAACCTGTAACCTCCAAATGCTATCACACAGGGGCTTGTTAGATTGATACCAAATAATTAAATAAAAATGGGGAACAAAATGTGATTAAAAAGTAAAAAATATCATGGCCCACTTGCCATGATAACCAGTTGATTGGCAGGCTCCTTCCCTACAGGGCTCCCCTGCACAGAAGAACAGGAGCCTGCCAATCAGCTTGTTACTATTCCCTGGGTGATATTTGGGGGGCGTACAGGGACAATGAGCGTATGCTAGGACTTGTAGTTCAATTACCATATGTCCCAGCATGCTCTCATTGTACCTGTACACCCCCACATATCAAAATTCTGTTCTGGTTTTCCCCGACGCCTGTTACCCTGGTTGCACCACTGGACAGGTTAATCCTGTCTGTCTCGAAGACATTTGTGTTTCTCTAATTTGTAAATGCATTCCTGAACAATGCAGTCCATATATTTTAGTGTGTTTTGAGCCATTTGAGAGTGGGAGCGATTAGAACCCTGCCAGGTTTTTTTACTGCTACCCAGGACCTCTGACTTGACAGGCATTCTAATCTTTTTGTCTTGAAATGAGTGGGGAAGGATCTAAACTCTTCAAGTCAGAGGTCCTGGATAGCAGTAACAAAAACCTAACATGGGTTCTAATCCTTCCCCCACAATATCCAAAATTAAAGAAAAAGATATTAATAGACGGATTGCACTGTTGGCCCATTAAATTCACATCACATGAGAAATGCATTCACATGAAGATGAACTGTGACCACAATAAGTGCCCCCAGATGGAAGCCCTTTCCTTGGGTTCATCGGCTGTCCATTATCTGCTGGTTGTTTTTTCTGCTCCAGCATTCCAAAGGAATTGCTGGAGATATTTCAAATATGAAATGTAATAAGACTTGTGGTGTTTTTCAAATGATTTAAATTACTGTGTGTTAGCAGCAGTGCCACATTGGTTTCTGGCAGTGTATTTTATCTTAAATTTCACAGTGACGTGCTGCATGCTTCTGAAATCGGATTCAAACAATGAAGAGAACAAAGCCAGAATCATGGTTGTGTTTTCCTCTATGTTCTTAAAGGGCATCTGTTGCATAAAAAAATAGGTAGAGATTTCTCTTGCTTGTCCATTGAGGGACACAGTTATTTAGAAACAGGTTATACGGTCGCCTAGAGGAGGTTATGAAAATGGCAAACAGAAAAATTGTAAGCCAGCTCCCAAATAAATCCTCCTTTACCCAGCATGCCTTCGTTTTCCTGCTAGTGCCCTTGCAGGTTGCATGCCTTTCATAATTTTTTCATAGTCTTTCAACTTGTGGTATCTTTTGTGACTTTAATTAAGATTCATCTCTACAACACTGCTTAAGCCAGTCTTATAACAGCAGGTATCTGGATTGGCGCGCTCCTCGGCACTAGCTTTGGAGGTAGAACCTGGTAGAACCTGGACCCTGCTGGGCTGGATATGTGGGGCTAGCCCGGAATGTGACCTTTGGGCACGAGGTTCTGCATTGTAGCACTTTCCAGACCTTCGTTTACTGTTAGCCACAGATCACTTTGCAGGTCATATGTCATGGCAGGGTCCCAGGTGTGACCTCGTCTCCAAAGACTTGCTTAGTTTGTAAGGTCGGACTGAAGCCCCAGGGGCTACCTCCCTATTGCACTGTTGGGCGGCGTTTCAAATCTCTTTCACTGCTGGTCTACCACAGCAACCATTAAGGCCGTGGGATAGAGTGTTGACATCTGTTGGGTGGAGTGCTCCTCGCTCTTTCCTGTCATTCAGCCCAGAGAATGCACCATCCCACTGCTGCTCTTGCTCCTTGCTCCTAAAGGACCAAATAGACCACTGGTCTGTTCCCACTGCCCACCTAGAGTGACTTGAATCGCCTCCAGTCACTAAAAACCCTCATCAGTACCATCTTCCTGGTTTTGTTAGTACTTGAAGCCTTGCTTCACATTGTGCCTAGTTGCATGACTGCTGTGCATACACAACACGTCTTTGATTAGACACATGCAGGCTGAACCCACTGCAACAGGTAACATCAGCCCATGCTCCCTTTTGGGTTTTGGGGGTGTTTCCTGTTATCCTTGGAAGTAACCTATGCCCCCATATTCCAGAAACTTTTTCCAAATTTTATTGGATTGCCCTTATTGCAGTCTAACTCGGCTTCTTTGTGTGCAGCTGAGTGCACTCATATTGTGGTAGATTTTAGTTTGGAAGACCAGTCAGCTGCCTGTGGTCATGTGCAGTTAGGTCCAACACGGCTTGGCCTGCTATGCTCCTGGTGAGCATCAATAAGCTTAAGGTGTCTAAATGCATTGGATGGTGGCTGCATGTATCCAGCTGCCAAATGAAATTTTGCCAGAAGCAACCTATACAATTAAAAAAAAAAAGTTTACTCCTGGTAAGCTTGTGTGGTTGTGCCTGTGGACAGGGGAGGGGGATTGTGTCAAGAGCTGGGTGTCCTGGAGAATGAGGTATCGGGGCAGTCCTGGGGACTATGTTTTACTGGGTCTGACAGGAAGTCAAAAAGTACATGGATTTCAATCATTTGCTACACAAAATGAAACATTTTTGGCTTTAGTTTACCTTGCGGTGGGTATTCCTGTGCTTTTTTTTTTTAAGGCTTGTGACCGGCATTCAGTGCGAACGTTCATGTTTATTGACAGTTAATTTTTCTAAGCATTCGCTCCACAGTCAGATCTAGCCACCTTCTTTATCTTACTGAGCACATTTACTTGTCACCCAGTGGGCTGTAATGTCACGCAAAATGCTAGATATTGATGGTGTTTATCTGATGCAGTCTGCTGCCGTTCTTTAACTTTCACATATAACAAATATATTTTACTTTTCAGATTACAGATTTGTCATTGCCCAACTACCTGGCAGCATCTTCAGTTGGCCTCTTTCCAACCCAGCTTCTTAATTCCTATTTGGGAACAACTTTACGTACAATGGAAGATGTCATCGCTGAACAAAGTGTTAGCGGATACTTCATATTCAGTTTGCAGGTAATGTTCATACAAGTTACGGTTGCTAGAAGAAAATATCACATGCTTTTTTTGGATCACAGTTTAACTTGGATATTTTTTTCTTCTCTGCTGTAAATGTTTTAATTCTCTCCGTGAAATACCTAAACCCAAGAACAAACGTAGAAATACCTTGCCGCACTCCTTTCCCGGAAGCCCCAAATTAAATAAGAGGGGGTGCTCGCAGTGACCACGGATGGCGCCGCCAAACAGTACAAAATAAACGGATGTCACCAGCACACCAATAGTGTTTGAAGTCCAAAGTGTTCGTTTATTGGAAAATCATGTCACTAGAACTATCATTCTAGTCACCAGAACTAGTTCTGGTGACATGATGTTCCAATAAACGAACACTTTGGGCTTAAACACTATTGGTGTGCTGGTGACATCCGTTTATTTTATACCTAAACCCAAAAAAACGATGTTATATTTTTCAGCTTACCAGTCTATAGAAAAGGTGCCTGCATTAGTTTTTGTTTTTTTCTTTCCCTGTATTGTCAATTGGTAATCCTGCAAAGGACACACTTCCTGTCCCTGAGTGGCTACATTTACTGCGGGGATACAATTACTGTATTCTCTATGGAGGGAGCCATGGATGCCACCCAGGCTGGACTTCAAACATGCCTTCCTTTGGTTCCTCACCATTAATTTGAGGCTGATGGGATTAGAACAGCTTTTCTCTTTAGTCACGTCAATCTTCAAAAGTAAGCGAAATCTCAGGGTACCTCAGTCTAAAATGTCATAGGTTTTAAGGGGGATCCCACACAAAAAAGTGGGTTTCCCCCTTCATATCAAAGTTCCCCATGAAATCAAGATTTCCCCCTTCCCCTTCACATCAGTCACCCTTTGCATCAGAAGCCCCACGTTCATATCAGAGTCCTCCGTCCCCTTTTTACATCGGGAGTCCCCTTCACATCAGTTTTCATTCCCCTCTTCACATCACTGTCCCACTACCACAAAATTTTGAGGCACCCCTGAAGAGGCTTGGATGCATACCAGTGTGCCACAACAACCTGGTTGAGAGAGGCTGGATTAGAAGTTTATGAAAATAAGATAAGTTAGTTTGTGCTCTCTGTTAAGGTCATGAGAAGTGAGAGGACTCAGCATGGCAAGATCAACAGGTATTTTCATTTTCCTGAAAATATTTTTTAGCAGAAAACTAATGCAGTCATGACCTCCTAAGGACTAGTAAGCTGCAATATATTTTGGAGCCAAATTACAGTAAGGAGAATTATGGGGAGTGTGAAATCCACTCATCCCCAGAATTAGAACCGACATGTGACACTGAAGCTGTTGTGATCGAAAACTGAGCGATTGCATACCGCTGATCACTCAGTTCCCGATCATCTCCCTGCAGAGAGCGGTGGCAGTCAGTCACTGCTCCCCGCAGGGATTCCCTCCCCTCTCCACTCCTCATGCCCTGACTGGAAGGGGGGGGCGGGGAAGAGGACAAAGCTGTCAATCAGTGGCTGGGTGGATGCAAATAATATCATCTGGATCTGTTCCGACTGCAGCATGGCTCTGCGCTATAAGCATATAGTGGGCAATAGCCCATTTTATGCTCAGTTTTGGGTCACAGGAGGACATTAGTATGTGTCTCTGCAGTATATGCACATTTCTTCTTTTATCCCCTTAAAGAGCCTGCAATTACAGGAAAATACCTGTTGATGTGCCAAAAATGGACACTGTGCCCAATTTCCTATTGTGGACCTATAGCATATCATCTATTTTTTATTTTATTTTTTATTCCTGCACTAACATTTTTAAAGACTGGTGTCAGCTCTGCTCAGTTGTCTTTTTGTAAAACTATTAAATCCCTCCTGCTGTCCTCATCTCGAAAACAGAGCGTTATTGTTCTGTAGACCAAAATAAGGACTGGGAGGACTCTGAGATAAAACAGGACGGCGCTGAATTTCTGCCATTGCCACACTTAACAGGTATTTTATTTTGTTATTCTGCTTATCGCTGAAGTATAACAAAGCGGTTACAATGGTATATTTAACAGACCAAAAAGGAGCTCATGGTTAGGATTTACATAACTTTAATTGTCATACGTTCTGGAATTTAGTCCTAGAAGTATATTTCCCGTTTTGCAGTTAATTTAAGAATCCTCCACTGTATGTGGATCATCCAGACAAAGGCATGATTCATACATGATAAAACTTCCAGCATTTTTCAGGGCTAGGCTTGTGTTTTTATATTTACAAACCACTCTGTTAAGTACCTCATTTGTATACAGAACAGACATGCAAGATAAGGTCCTTATGTTTTTTGAATAGTGGAGCCCTTTTTGGCAACAAGCCTATATTGCTATGGTGGCTCAATGCATCTGTCGGGAAGCATAGCAAGGTTTAAATATTTATTCATTTGCTTGGTATATGTTATGTTGTCAGTGACTTCATATAGAGCAATATCCTGGATAAATTACAATTAAGTTTTTTTTTTTTTTTCTTCAAGTTTGTGTCTTTATGTTAAAGCCCAATTGAATTTGCATTTTAAATGAGCTAAATAAATTCCAGAAGCATCAAAACATACAGTGTACCAAGTCTAACAGGGTTATTCACAAAAGGTGAAGAGTTCGGAGAAGGCAGGAGAAGTGAACAATCTACGACAACATAGCTGAACTGGAATAATTCTCCAGATCAGCTGTTTTGGCCTAGATTGTTCACTTCTGCCTTCTCCGAACTCTTCACCCTTTTGTGAGTAACCCTGTTACTTAATTTTCCTTTAGAAAGTAGCCACATCCTGACAATCCTTAGTGGTTTGGCATGCCCCCTGTAGAATTAGAGCTTGAGTTCACCATTGATGAGGGAACTTGAGATTTCTAATTGTAGAGCTCTAGGTCTGATTCTGCATAGGGCCCACTGCTTCCACACAAAATGTCCTCTATAGCATGTTGTCCAGGGGCAGGCTTTTCTATGCTAAAGGATATGAGCTGCAAGGCTTTGAAATCCTTTTGTTTGATGCACATATAATGTATTTAGTTGGACTATAAACTTAGACTTTAAAGTATTTTGCACTTCCTGCCTCATTTTAATTAGGTCTTTTCTAATACACAGATTGTGATCAGCATAGCTCTTATGTTTTACGTGGTCCATCGAGCGCAAGTGGAGTTGAACGCAGCTATCATGGCTTGTGAAATGGAACTGAAGACTTCTTTGAAGGACAGCCAACTGAATGGCGGCAGCACGGTATTTTGCGGCAAAAGGACCTTATTGTCCATGGGAGGAATTAACATTGTATGAGTGTTCAAGCCATGCAGCCTTCTTTCATTGCCAAGATCTATTTCTCTTTCCCTTCACTGAAGGAAGACATTTTCTGCACAACTTTCAAATGAACCTTCAGTGGTTTTTTCCTTTTGAGGATATCGGCCAGGATCTCCAAATTGGAAGCATTCATCAGTCGTCACATTCTGTGTATGTCATGGCATAAACAATGCACTTTTCTGCGCAGCTCTTACAAACACGTCATGGCAAATGTATTTATTACTGGACAATAAACTATTTCTTATGAAATAGCGAAAAGGAACTTGTATAAAATAAATTATATTTGTAATTTGCCTTTTTAGCATTTTGCTTTTGCAGTATTGTTCAAGGACCTTTCTAGCTAAAATACAAGTTGGTCCATTTAAAAGAAATAGAATTCACTTGGTAAGCAATAGCAGCTTTTGTTGCTGAAAATTAAAATGTCCACTGCATATGTTAAATATGAAAAGAATGTAAATGACCTTTGGAGGGGTTGTCCACTATTTACTAAAGATGGACACTGAGTTTGGACTTCAGTGTGGAGAAAAGTTGATTTTATAGACTCGGACCTCCTATGATCTCTTCTACCTATATTGCTTGTGTGTAGTTAGGTTTTTATTCACTATGGAAATGCAAGGTTTTGTAACCCACTACAACTTTACAAATAGGTTGGTCTCTGTATTCCAAAGCTCCGTAGTGGTTGTTTTGGAGAACTACACCTCATTGTTCTTTTCCCCTGCACATGACAAGAGTAAGAAGCTATTGAATTAATCTTTCCCCCAATTTGCTACAGTGAGTTCATTTTTAAAAACATGTGGACAACCCGTTTAAGTTCTTTCAGCATTTAAAAATTGTTCCTAGTAGTCGTTCATATGCACCAACTTTTATCTTGGGCTTAAGCTTGGTCTTTTTTTGAGTTGCCTAGCTATTGTTTGATAGGAACAGGACCATTTTTCTTGTCCAATGAAAACAATTCAAGCATACCCCTACAAAGTGCTCTTAATCCAGCTGATATAAGCAGCTGGTCTTTTGGTTTGTTGTGGGTTAAAGCCATGTTTTATCTCCAGGGCCAGAATTACAGTATAGTGATAGGCTTGTATACACATTGGGCAAGGCCAATGTACAGATGCTTGAAGTTTGAGGAGCCTTGATAAGTGAGGGAGAAGATTGTTTAAAATGACACTTAACTTGGGAATTAAATTTTAAAAATGCATTCAAGTACCTTTTTTAAAGGAGAACTATGAGGTGAGTGCTTTTCACTCACCTCATAGTTCTAGCTGACCTGTGACAATGAGACAGATCGGCTCAGTAAATCGGGAGGTCAGCGACCACATACCGGCGTTCGCTCACCTCTTGATCCTGTCACGGCTCTCTGCCGTGACAGGGGAGGGGCTGGATTCCCCCCGCCCTGCTCCGATCCGCCAGCGCTGACTGGCGGATCGGACGGGGGGGGGGGGGATACAGCTGGCTCTGCCTCTAGATAGGCAGAGCCAGCTGTCACTCACGCAGCTGGGCGGATCCAGACATAATTGTCGGGATCCGCTTCAGCTGCGGCATCTCAGTATACTGCGAGTTGTAGCTCGCGGTATACTGGGCTTAGGGTGACGGGAGGACGCTAGTTTGTGTCCTCACGTTACCCTAAGGAGAACTATGGGGAAAAGCCTTAACCCCATAGTTCTACTATTAACAAAAATGTATCTAATTTGTGTATCACTCATCCTGTAGATCCTCAAATCATCTCTGAATTGGTGCTGACACTGTCCTTCCTTCTGGAGGGTGGCTACTTTTGTTCCCCATGGTTCCTGTGTGTGTTGTAAAGTAGCCGACGCTCCAAGTTCACTCCTGTGATGGACTACAATGTCACATTTAGTTTTCTAATTTGTAT